ATCATGACAGATCAACATGTAGTCAGTTAGATAAATTGTTATTTTGTTACACACATTTAGTTATAATTTCTTCTTCTTCTGCTAATGTAATTTTTCCTTTTCTCTTCTCCTTCGTTTGATTTATATTCATGTGCAGAGTTCATTCATCAATACTACAATTCATTCTTTCTCAACAATCTTATAAGAACTTTCATCTTTTCTCTGTTTATCAAGAGTCATCTTAAACTAAACATTAATGATTTGTTTTTATTTGTTAATATAATTTATAAGACATTAAATAGATTCTTAATTATCCTATAAAAAAGCACATTTAATTTCTCTTTATTTCCCACACCTAAATCCATTACAAATTAAAACATGATTGAGTATTATAAAAACAGATATTAAGATGGTAGAAATTTTGTTCGGGTCGGGGGGAGGACTGAAGGGTGAAAAAGTTGTGATCCTCACTTATTGCGTGATATTATAAAGGAAAAAAAAGAGAGGCTAAATAAACAGTCCAAAAATAATAATACCACGGTACAGTGAAAAATAGTCAAAGAAAGCAGAGAAGGGTTGTTCAGAACAAAAGAAAAAGAAAAAACGAGAAGACCGATAGATCCCTTTCGGCCCTTTTAAGTTTTAACATAATATCAGCCAACGCGTTATTACATTGGTTTCGTGATTTGGGCTTATGAAACTTGGGCAAGTCTATAAATTAGATGGGTTGGTTTGTGCTTTTGGGCCCATTATGGTGAGTCTATATGAACTTGTAGTGTTGCTCAGTTCCACCGTGCAATAAATAGCTTAGGGTATAGCCAACGCATATTCGTTAAATGTTCGTTCTCAATTTGACGGAAGAATCTGACACCTAACAAGTTCAACTAAATGACCATAATACCCGATTTCCAATGAAGCAATCATTTACAAATCCTTATGGCATTTGTGTCAAGCTACTCAACACAAATACTAAAATATCATCATCGTCGTCCGTGAATGGATCCAGGTTGTTCATCTCTATAGACGACTATAGCAGAAGACCACACAGCATATGCAAGTCATAAAATATGGGTCAGCAACTCCACCCTTTTGCTTCTCTGTCTCTGCTGCATTCTCTGCCTTTTGAGACTAAATAAGGTAATCCTTTTCTACCCCACCATTACTCTCTTGAGCTTTTACATCACTCCTTTAAATCCCTGCATTTTACCTTAATCTCCTTTAGTTTTACGATCTAATACAATTTTAGTGCTATATTTATGGGTATCAATCAAATATTTCATTTTCTTTTTGCTCCTCTTTGAAATTAGAAACATAATATATCAAATTATAATATGATTATAAAGAACAGGCATAGAGGATGATGTTTATTGTTCGTTTTAGCTTGACAAATATTTTTCCTTGATGCCTCTATATTCTACGTTTCTTAGTAATGATAAAACGCATTCGTATTTCGCATTCATCCACATATCTGGCATCTCGGTCTCACACACGCTAGTATAGTCGATGATAGAAATCCTTCACCTTTGTCACACTCTCTGGCTCACCTTCCCCAGTAGTATATACCTCCGATAAATGGTAGCTATTATTGTCCTTATGTTCTTTAGCTAATTTGTTGTTAGCAATATGTTGTACTCGGTAATTTCGCCTCAGTTCAAATATTTGTGGCTTTCTTTCACTTGCATAAATAACTTCCAGTTGATATCATCCCCTTAATCCGCTTTAGGTGGCGTTCTTCTTTGTTTTATCTACAAGTGTTGTTGGGTTGCAAATATTTGACATGCCAACCACTGCAAAAATTTACACACCCATTTGGGGTTTTTTCTCTTGGAGCTGTCGTGTTGATGAATTGGATTGAGTGTAAAACAATAATCAAAGTGACATGCCAACTAATTAATTAAAAACCGTTTTTCTTAGTCGATACCTGAGGCAGACTTTGACATTGTTTTTCTCTGTAGTCTCGGTTGCTCTCTTGTCCGTTCTTGTTGGCTTATATGTTATCTTTATTTCGTCTTTTCTTATGCTCTTATCCTGTGTCCACTGCAATGCTCGATGGGGAAAAGCTAATTGAATACTGGAGAGACTTTGTCAACTCAAGTTTGTAGTCTCTCTGGGTCCAAAAATGTTTATTTGTTTACTCGGTGTTTGGAATCTATTAAATGGAATCATTCGTACATTTATAAAGTGTTCTAAAACATACTAGAAATAATTGGTTAAATTATTTCTTAACTGTTTATAATTTTAATAAATCTTTGAATAGACCTTTATATTTAAAAAAATTTCAATTTATTGAGTTTATATTGTGAATTTTTTTTTAATAAGTTCATACCTACTAACGATTGTTAATGTTTGTTAAATTATGAAGATTTATTTGAAAATTATTTATTCAATAGTTTGCTACAATTTATTTAAGTTTTCAAAAAGGTCTTCGTAATTTAGCAAAATTTAATAGAATTTTAAAAATTATTAGCAAATATTTTTTAATTAACTTTTTTTAAAAAAATAAATAGAAATTTCATTAAAAACTTTTTAAGGTATGCGGACTTATTTAAAAATTTAATAAAATTATAAGAACTTATGGCCGAATAATTTAACTTTTAATAATTTCATCTCTTTCTACTAAAAATTATAATAACAATAATAAATTCATCCTTGTCTAGCTCGATCGATGTATAGTTGTTCGACTCTCTTAAGGTAGAGGAGTGCTTTATAGTTTATACTATCTGTGTATCGGATCTATCTTCCTACGGTAACCTTATTAATTTCGTACTATTATTACAAAAGCTTTATAAGTTAGGAGAAGGGTCAACAAGGATATATATATATATATATATATATATATATATAGACAGGATCCTTTGACACCGGTGTCAAAAAAAAGTTTGACACCTCATCTGAGAGCCGTTAGATTAAAAAAAATCAACGATTCTGATTTGTAAGCATGTGACACCATTGATTTTTTTAAATCTAACGGCTCTAAGATGAGGTGTCAAACTTTTCCTTTGACACCGGTGTCAAAGGATCCTGCCTCATATATATATATATATTTGACACCTCATCTAAGAGCTGTTAGATCCAAAAAGATCAACGACTCTGTGACACCATTGATCTTTTAGGATCTAATGGCTCTCAGATAAGATGTCAAACTTAAAAATTGACACCGGTGTCAAAAGATCCTACCTTATATATATATATAGATATATATATATATATATGAGGTAGGATCCGACACCAGTGTCAAATTTGAAATTTGACACCTCATCTGAGAGCCGTTAGATCAAAAAAGATCAACGATTCTGATTTGTAAGCATGTGACACCATTGATTTTTTTTGATCTAACGACTCTCATATGAGGTGTCGAATTTCAAATTTGACACTGGTGTCAAAGGATCGTACCTCTCTATATATATATATATATAATATTCTAATTGGGACTCTTTCCTGGCGATGATTTACCTAGATTGGATAATTGTTGCATTATATCCCGTAATGTTCTTTCCTCGGGTCTTAAGTTTGTAATTTTTCATTGCGGAAGTGCTGAAATGATTGTTTTCTGCTTTTGGTGCTTTACTTTGTCTTGCTTTCCATACACAATGCTTATTTCTTCTCAAAGAACCTGTGCAAGTTTGATCTTTTTGGTCGTGCACGTACAAGATCTATTAGAAACAAGTTGGACATGGGGTCATGAATTCCTTTTAGGTTTGTGTTGGAGTCTGTAAAGGTTGAGTCCAGAGCTAAGGTGGTAGAAGTGTGTTGTGGGGGTTGACCCTTTCCAGCTTTCGTTATTAGGCTTGCATCTGTTGCTAATGATGGAACTTTTTTCTTGAACATATTGATTATTTGTTCCGGTATTGTCCAAGAATCATTGCCCTTTTTTGGTGTGTCAATGATTTATTATCCAAAAATAAAAGTTTTAAAGAGGAGATTATTTTAATCTAAGGCTAGATATACTACGAGTTTGATTTTTATATATGATTAACCATTGAAAATCCATCAAATTGAATTGAACTCAGAGCCTTTTTGTCAACCCGTTTGATTTTACCAATACCTAATATGTGAATTTTATTTGTTATGATGCCTTCCTTTGTTTGACAATTTAGCTCAAAATTGACAAATTCACATCAATTCATTAATTTTGAATGTGCATGATTAGTTGGTGCTTTGGATTTTAAGGGTCTGACATGTTTGGTTTAAGCTATCGCTCATCTCATTATCTCTTAAATGAAAAAATAAATAGATTCAAACATGCAAAATGTGTTGCGAGTATAATTGGAAATGAAAAAGGATATATAAAATTTGCATAAGCAAGGGGTGGAAAAGGAATAAATAAATAAAAGAGCTTTCTTAAAATCTGCATCAATTACAAGTATATGTGTTTGTGGGAAATAAAAGGCTAAAAGCTATGCATCTGCACTTTTCTTTAATTAATAATTATTCAAAGAAAAAAAACAGTGTTTGGCATTGAATTCTAACCTTTACTTCATGTTTATTGAATTTGTGTCATAAAAAAATAAAGGAAAAACAGGGTGGGTCGGTACGTTATCTGTACACCTTTCCCTTCAACTAAAACATCAACATATGAGGACATCACTCATCTGATTCTTGTCCTGATACGTGTAATTTCATGTTAAATTTCAGCAATGCTATCTATTTCTTTCTGAAATAAAACTACAGGGTTGAGGTGATACCAATTCCAGTGGGCTAATTGAATTGACATTGGGTGGCCCAGTCCAACCAGATCCTCTCCATCAATTGAAATGAATGACGAGACGTTCACATCAAAGTGGGACACGTTTCACGCATGTCGGTCCCACTTTCGGTCGGCATGCCTCGCGATCGCGACTCGCGAGGATTAACATGCAGAGCAAATACTAGAATCTTCTGTCATTGATTACGGGCCGGGCCTGCTATTTTCTTAAATTTCTCCACCGCGTAAGCTCATTCCACTTTTCTTAAGAGTTAAGTTTATATTTTATATTTTATTTTATTTTTTAGAGTCAAATTTTCCGATCTAATTTACACGGGAATTTAGTGACGGATCCCGCAAAATCCTACGTGTTGGAGATCTGTGTGCTGAAATGGGATTTTTTTTGGTTTGTTGAGCTGCATGACTTTTTTTGGAATGGTCATCGTCATGCCACGCGTCCAAATTAAATATAATTTAAGTTTGCGCTTGCGAGAAATGAGAATAAAGTGTGGGTCATTCGGGTGGGTCGCTTATCCGATTCCGGATCCGAACATTTTGAATTTCGGGTCAGACACTTTTGAACGGCCATGATGGCATCAATTAAGATTAAGATTGCTCTCGCTATTTAGAGATCGAAACATAAGGGATACTTTAGCTTTTGCTTTTGCACATTCTTGAGAAAGGGGAGTGTTTCTCATTCCTTCCAGACGCTTCGATTTGAATTGAGTATTTAGGGTTTTGGTTTATCGGCGATTGGAATCGTGAGATTTTTTAGACATGGCGGAGCATCACGAACACGAGGAACCAAAGGGTGAATCACTGTTGGACAAGATTTCGGGGAAGATCCACGACCATGATTCGTCTTCTTCGTCGGATTCCGACAACGAGAAAAGCAGCTCCTCTGCTCCCATCAAGTCCAAGGTTTTCAGGCTCTTCGGCAGGGAAAGGCCACTTCACAATGTCCTTGGTGGCGGAAAACGTATGAGATTGCCTCTTTCTAATTTTTTGTTTTTGTTTTTTGATATACTGTTTTTGTTTTTTAATTTTCTAGCTGTTTGTGTTCTTTCTCTTAAGTGATTCGGGTTTGTTTATAGTGGGTTTAGGGTTTATGAGATTCAAGTGAGATCTTGTTCGTTCTGATTTCTCCGTTCATTACTTTTGTTAAACCTTTTTTAAAATCAAAATGATGTACATAGCATTTGGGTCTAGATCTGCAATCCCCTGTTCCCGATTTGTGTTGTTTTTACAAGATTCTCCCTAAATAATACATGGGCACTCGAAGATCGAATCTCCTAGCTGCGAGAACCGCTGGAGTTTGTGTTGGATAAATTTTTCATTTCTCGCGCATTTAAATTGTCAAGTCAAACATTGACGACTAACTTTGACAATAATTTTGCTCCTTGATTTCCCTTATATTAACTTGATCCAAATTTTAACTTCAAATGTTGACATGGGTTTCTGAGTTTTTGTGATTTTTGTTGTTGGTATGCGCTGCCTCTTTGGTTTGGTTGGTGTGTTTGTACTTTACATTGAATTGCTTGCTATGCAACAGCCGCTGATGTTTTTCTATGGAGAAATAAGAAGATATCAGCAACGGTGCTCGGAGTTGCGACAGCTGTTTGGGTTCTGTTTGAATTGCTTGAATACCACTTCCTCACTTTGGTTTGTCACTTACTGATACTTGCACTGGCGGTATTGTTCTTATGGTCCAATGCATCCACTTTTATCAACAAGTAAAGTTCTAATACTGTAATTCGATTTGGCTTTCTGGTATTCTGCCCTTTCTATTAGTTAATTAGATTACTTTGATTTTGATTAGGATTCCACCGAAGATCCCACAAGTGCACATTCCAGAGGAACCTGTTTTGCAGTTTGCCTCTGCTCTTAGACTTGAGATAAATTGTGCTTTTGCTGTATTAAGGGATATTGCATCAGGAAGGGATCTCAAGAAGTTTCTCTCAGTATGTTGATTTCCTTTTATCATACTTTGTTGTTGTGTTGTCGTATGTTGCATTTGCTCCATTTACCCAGAAATTGGTGGTGGTTAAGGTGGCTTTATGACCAGTAAATAACGTGGCATTTTTTTACTAGTGAATAGGGGTTGGACTACAGTTTATGCGGCCTGCAAAGTTGCAGATTTTTGTGCTAATTTCTAACTTCTTTGCTGGTAATAAATATGGTTTTTGTTTTGAATTAACTAGGTGATTGCTGGATTATGGATTTTCTCTATACTGGGAAGTTGGGCAAATTTCTTGACATTGTTCTACATAGGTAATGAAGTGCCTCTTTGTCCATTGACATTTACTGCCTTGAAAGTTCAAATATTATTTTGAATTGTATGTGATGTGATGTGTTTTCGTAATTTTGTAACAGCTTTTGTTTTGCTTCACACTGTACCCGTGCTTTATGAGAAATATGAAAATCATGTGGACTCTTTTGCTGAGAAGGCAACTGCCGAGATTAAGAAGCAGTATGCAGTGTTTGATGCGAAGGTTTTGAGCAAGATTCCTAGAGGACCTCTGAAAGATAAAAAGAAAGATTGAAGTGATTAAATCAGGCTATTACTATTGTGCTGACAAATATGTCGTGTAGGGTTTCATCAATGTTATGTTGAATTCGGATTCGTGATCAGTTAAAACCCTATCATGTTATATTTTATTATTTTTGGGGTCACTTAGTTGACAATGTGGAAGAAGTATTTTTATTTATTTTTTCTGCTGCTTACCTGTACGCCTCAAAAAATCCTGTATGCTTATGTATGACTTGTTCTTGTGTTGTACTTACATCTTGAATACACGCTCTGTGCATTAATGTTTTCTTAGGAGTTGGTGATAATTATGTCTCCGAACTCATGCGACTCGCCTCCCTTTCCGGTACCAGCCGTTGTTCGATCACTGACCATTTCCCCGCATAATTTCGCAGTTATGCTTCCCAACTTAAGTAGTCTGGAAGCTTTTGTACAGGTTCGTATTTCCTAGTACCTTTCAGTGCTCGGAGTAGATTTCTTGGTGCTTAAATTAGAGTGGGGGTTCATAATAATGATAAAGAAGTGTGGAGAGTAAATGGTGTAGGGGTTAAATGTGTCAAGACAGGGTTATAATGGCCTCTTAAGAAATAAGGTTACGAGCCTATTTTAGAACGTCTGGCTGCCGGGTTTCAGTGACTTGGTGGGATGACCGGTTGGAGAAAAAAATACAACTTTCAGTAATCTATACAACACCCACATGGTTTCAAATCATATCCTTCACCCCATTCCCCAAATGGAACGATTTTGAAGTCATATACGCAACTGGGTAGGTACAAGGATAAAAGGGTTTCAAGCAATTACCTTTTACGATCTTGTTGGTACCTCTGATGGTGCGAGTCCAATTTTTTTTTTTTGCCAGGCCTTGTTTTCGCCATGCGTGTATGGACTCTCTTAGCTCTTTTTCCGATAAAGTGTTGAGGTGGAGAGTTGGAAATGCATAGGGTGAGCTTCAGCAATTGCGAGGAATGGATAAATTTCTCTGAGCCCTAAGATTTTTTTGTTTTGGGGTGAGTAAGAACAGAGGAACCCTAAGTTTTCATTCACTTCCTTTGAGAGAAAAGAAGAGGGCACGAGAGAAGGGAGTGAATGTGATGCTCCCTTTGCCTTCAGTTACAGTGATTTTTGTTATGGTATGTTAATAAGGTCTCTTAGTTCATTGTTAACTCTTGGTAATAGTCATTAATTAAACTTAGCATTAAGGTTTGATATCTTTTATACATTGCCATAACACGTTGACGTTTATTTTGCTTTGACTTGACCATTATTACGTTTACTTTCATTTTTATTTTATTTAATTTTTGCTGTAATCTAGGACACTGTTTTGTCTTTTAATTAAAGCTGGAGAGGAAATGGAGAGGAGGTTTCAAAGAAATAAAAGGGTGGAGCCACATTTGCGCTAATCTAGGACACTGTTTTGTGTAATTTATTGGTTAATTACTTTGATCCACTGTTGTAAAATCTGGCCCAACCCGGAATTTAGTGAACTGGTCATCAGACCGGTTTGGGTCAAACATTATTGATCCGGTCAAAACCGGTGACCCAGTGACCCGATCGGGTCATGTAATTTTTTTTTTAAAAAAAAAAAACCAAAAAATCAAAACTGTTTCATCTTATCAGAAAAAAAATGTAGAATTCATTTTAAAAATTGTTTGTAATTTTATTTGCTAGTATATTATTCTACAATGCCCTCAAAATTTAATTTCCAATACTGAAGCAATTTGAGGAATAATAAATTAGAGAGTGTGACATATGTCATTTTAATGTAGTTGAATTTGAAAAATATGAATTCACTGTCGTTGAGACGTATGTTTATGAGGATTCTGAGTTGCAATTTAAATTGACATAATAATAGCGTACATTTTTATTTATTAAATGTTTCATGTTTTTGAGCTTATTTAGTGAATCTTGTTTAATTCATTTTATGGAAAATATAATTGAATTTATATGTTTAGATTTATATATATTTTTATATATCTAAATATATATATATTCGGGTCAACCGGTTCGACCAGTGACCTACCGGTCCAACCAATGACCCAGTACCCCGACCGGGTCAATACCCGGGTCGGGTTTAATAACACTGCTTTGATTGGGTCGATGCCAGGTTGGATTTAATAATACTGAGTTTGCCTTGTATATTTTAATAAATAATATTTTATTATAAAATAATAAAATAATATCTTTTTTTAATAAACTAATATCTTTTTTTTTAATAAAATAATATTTTGGATTGAGGTGTGGTTGTATTATTTTAACTTTTCATTGACTTAAATATATAAAAGAAATAAAATAAATAAAACAATCATAACTTATATTTTATAGAATGAAACATGTTATTTTTGAAAGCTTGATAGATTAGATCAATTTTTATATTTTTTAAAAATAAGTCAAGCCAATTTTATAAGTCGATTAAAAAGTCATCTCAAACTTAGAATATTTTATATAAGCCCAATTTATTTAAATTAAAGTCTGACTTGATCTAACTTATTTATATGTGTGTTAAATTTGCACAGAATCTTCACTCTTATCCAAGGTTGGAATGCGAACACATATTATTTCTTCATTCTTGTCATCTATCTCCACCCTTAACTCAGATTTTATCTTGGCTTCAGTTTTTTTTTTTTTTTTTTTCATTTTTCAAATAAATTAAAGGATAATTTTCATGCTGGTTGTTGTAATCTGTCAGGGAGAATAAAGGTGGCAAAATGAGATAGGTTCGGCGAGCCAGCCAATCCGCCCACCAAACAGAGCGGGGCGAGTTGAGTTGTTCAACTCGCGAAGCTCGTCCCATCAAACTTTAAGCTTTCTTTGGAAAGAGTCCCATCAACATTAAGGTTCAACCAATCTTGAAGAAGCCAAACCCAGTTCAAAGGAGTCTCATTAAAGATAGGCAGATTTTATCTCACTTTGGAGTTGTGGCTAGCCAGGTTGATCTCCATCATATGCTTTTGAATCACACTTATTTCATTTTCTGGTCTTTTGTAGTCACTCTCATGAATTTCTTTGTTATGTCATAGCTAGAGAAACCAACAAGTAATGAAGAAGTAATCTCTCTGATCCGAAATTCTTCCATCAAAATAACCAATGTTTCTATTCAACCAGCTAAAAAGGTTCTGATTAAAAAAAAAACAGGGGAGAGTGAGGCTTAAATAAAGAGTTTTCCAAATCTTTGTGGTCATAGGGTGGTCTCTAAACATATGAAGAATAGTCTCTAAACATCTATTCCGTTCCCCACTTAACATATATGTTTTTGTTTAGAAATCTTCCTGGCAGATCTTCTAATTCTTTATTTGTTGATAGATGTTCATTCCATTCACATTATCAAAACTCTAAATATGTAAAAAAATCTTATCATAATTCACGTAGTTATACTCTTGTCATGGGCCCAACACCTGTTATTTATTTTAATTTTTTAGGGTTTGTCAGGAGAACACCACTGAATTTTAATTTTTTTGTTTTTATTTTAAACAAATTATCAATTTGGTCATCTCACAAGTCAGAATATTCTAGCTAAGCCCCTAGCGTATTTGTTTTTTCTCCTTATTGTAGTAGCCAGACGAAAGTAAATTTTCAGCTCTAAGACTAATATATTCAACTGGAAATTATCAATTTTAATTCTACAACATAATAAACATTAAATTTTTTTTTTTTTTCTTTCAATTGAAAGTTACAATTAATAAACATTAATTTTAATTTTAATGATGTTGTTAAGGACACCTGGAACTTGCAGGATAACATTCCCACTAGCCTTAGCAACCTGGTGCCTGTCCTGCGTGATTGGAACTAGGTTACCTTTGGTAATATCTTTCGGAAGAAAAGTTCCATTCTTCGTAGGCTTGCTGGTATCTAGAAATGTTTGGAGGATGACCCTAATAGCTTTCTGGAAAACTTAGAGGTGGAGTTGCACATTGAATAGACCGTACTCTTGATCAGGAGGAGAAACTGTGGTTTCACAAGTCTAGAATGCTGTGGCTGAAAGATGGTGACCGTAATACCAAATTCTATCACATACTATCTTTCGAAGGAGGAGAAATAAGATCACAACTCTGAATGATCTGGGGCTGTGGGTTCGAAATGTTGAGCAGTTAAGAAGGCTTGTAATTGAGTTTTACTCAAATCTCTTCACAGAAACTCAGGCTACTAGACCCTGAATTAGTATCGCTGAGTATTGGACTCCTTTGAGCATGCGTGATGTTAATGTTCTCAGCAAACCAATTAGCACTGATGAAATAAAGGTTGCCTTCTCTTGAATATCTGAAAATTCATTGTATTATGAAATCTAAGTTTACATTACAGCTATTCCACCTTATATATCATGGTGTCAAGCAGAAGAATCAATAATGAGTATAACAAACTTCCAACTATACACAACAGATTCCTAACCGTGTAACAAACTGGATACAGTTACAAACTAACTTTAACTGCATCTCTTTCCACGTCAGCGTTAGTTACTTCATTAGGATATATTAACATCCTCCCACAAGTGGGACTATATATGTTGAAGAGTCCCAACTTGGACACAGCTCTTTGAAACGCAGTAACATGTAATGGTTTTGTAAAGACATCCGCAATTTGTGCTGAAGAAGAAACAGGCAACAGATGAACAAGCTTCTGAGCTACTTTTTCGCGAACGACATGACAGTCCAACTCAACATGTTTCGTTCGTTCGTGAAATGTTGGATTGTGTGTGAGATATATCGCGGATTTGTTATCACAATAAACTGATATGGGATGAGATAAAGGAAAGCATAAATCCTTGAGAAGATAGGAGAGCCATTGCAGCTCACAAGAGAGGCTAGCCAATGCTCTGTATTCTGCCTCACATGATGACCTTGAGACAATCGTTTGCTTTTTGGATTTCCAGGAAATAAGAGCGGAGCCTAGGAAGACACATTGTCCAGTGACTGAACGCCTAGTATCTGGGCAGCAAGCCCAATCTGAATCTGAAAACCCTGAAAGCTTCAAGTTATTCTTTGAAGGAAAGAAGAGACCAGTGCCAGGGGAATTCTTAATATATCTGAGAACTCGAAGTGCAGCAGAGTGATGAACGTCCGTAGGATTGGAAACGAATTGACTTAATTGTTGAACTGGAAACATGATATCGGGTCTTGTAGTAGTTAAGTATAGGAGCCTCCCCACAAGACGACGATAGGGAGATGGATCAGTTAAAGGGACACCCAGGGAGCGCTGAAGCTTCGAAGATGCATCCATGGGTGTAGATGATGGTTTGGCAGCAAGAAGACCGCTATCTG